AAGAAAATACAGTGTGTTTAAGCCATGGACGCCATTGATAGTCTTTATCTATCCTCAATTTTTTGAATTTCTTTTCTTTTCTTGAAAGAGATATTAAATGTGAGGCGTGAAGTGTGCATTATTTTAAAGATTTCAATTACAAATTGTTGTTTGGATTCTATTATTAGAAGTTAGTATTTTTTTATTATATTTCATATATAAAAAAGTATTTTTAGTTATTTAAACATTATCTAGTAAAAGATGAAATAATATTTTGTAATAATGCACATATGAATTTTTCCCTAAGAGTAATGCTATTTAGTCCAAATTGGATTAAAACCTCAATTTAGGCGACGCTAATGTGAGATTAAATTACTCATTTATTTCACTTTTTATTCAATCTATCATCTAACGTCACCTACAATGAAGTTGCAATCCCAGTGGGGCTTGTAGCATTACTCTTAACGTAAACACAGTTAAGCTCGAATATCGAGAACTACTATTTGTTGATTCAATCTCGTGAAAAATCAGCTAACCAAGCCAAATCAAAGGACTTGTTAAAATTTTATAGTTTCATTTGTCACAATAAAATATGAATTTAGTAATAATTAAAATATTTTTAGGTCCGCATAACATAAAGATTAAATAATAAAGTCTTGAACATAATATAAATGATTATACTTGAATTTCAGAGATTATTTGTTATCAAAGTTTTCAGACTTGACTACCACTTTTCAAAGTTTTTTTAGTAGCCAACAAAGAGAGTATGACACTAGATATTGAAATTACACACGGAATAAAGTTTGAATTGATCATAGTGCGAAAATTTTACAGGTTTTTTACCACTCATAGTGATACAAGTTATACAACCACCTACACTGGCAACGAGTATGAGTTAAAACTTACAGCACTAGGTATTCTTGAGGCACGATATGCAACTTTTAACATATTTAAGAAAAGCATCATTCAGAACAACAGTAAATAGTCGCGAATTCTGCATCTATACCCCATTTCTTTATGAGCAGTTTTTATCATAACTAGCCAATCCCTGCAACTCAGGACCCTCCAGACGAGGATTATTCTCAAAGCTGCACGGATAAAAATAAATAAATAAATAAAATATTGTCGATGACCAAATATTAGGGGATGCCTTGTTGGGGTTGGTAAAGCTAAAGCATTCTAAATAAGAGGTGAGGGGAATAAAGAAGGTGCATAATTTGCAAATAACAAAGTATCATTACATTATCTTGGTCGTTTGATTTGAGTGAGTCGCATTTATTGCATAAGAGAAAATTTTAGCCAAATCAAATGCAACAATACAGAGAGAATCAGCTTTCACTATATAGGAACATCTAGACCTTCTTCCACATGTTCATGTATAGATGCACAATCATCTCAAAGTGAGAAGATTACAAATTAACTGAGATATAATTTAGGATGGAAAGTTTTATATCACTTCTAATTTTTCCAGAAAATCATTTGATAAATTGACGGCTTAACCTGAGGAGGGAATTCTAGGGCATCATTTTGTACGACAGAAAGTAAATTTTGTTGTACTAAAATGAAACAACAAAAAATAAAATTTGATGCAATAAAATGAAACATTTCAACATAATAGTGGAAACAGAGTCAATAAATTAAACAGAATCAGATGCAAAAAGCCTTTAAAAATAAAAGCAATCATAAAGGACGTTTAGAGACAAATATAAATCAGCATCTTACTTGTTTAGGGGGATGTGCTCAAATGGACCGGTAGTAGGTATTGTTCCGCACAAGAAGTTATTTGAGACATCCCTGGAAAATCAAGGGCAAATATTTTGTAACCACCCTATGCTTCGTAATAGCAACAATATATATAGCAGTGCACATCTTAAGCACTTACACAACTTTCAAGCTAGATATACTAGCAAGTGTACTTGGGATTGGCCCTGTTAGCTGATTATCATTAAGACGCCTGTCAATGTAAAGTAAGAGTTATTGACTTCAAATAGGATGCTCAAATAATATGCAAACTTGCATGCAGTGTGAAAATACGTGTATTTAGAATGAGCAAGCAAGGAAAGAGAATGGAGGGGGAAAGGGGGGGGGGTTTGCTACTAATTGAATAAGTAAATATTCAAAGCTTAAAGGGAAATATTTTGGACAGCAACAGTAAACACAAGCATTATCATGTGGTCAGCAACATGAATTGTGGATGGCAAAAAATAAGAAATGAACTGAGGCATTACAGTATGACATGTCTACTAATCTAGCAAACAATTATTTCTACTTCCACCCATCGCCAAAACCCGCCAAAGAACATTTGGATTTGATAGAGTGATATGGTATAAACTCACAAGAAGACAAGATATTTCAATTTTCCCAATGCTAGAGGTATTGTTCCCGAGATATTGTTGTTGTACAGATCCAAACTTATTAAGCTCTTCAAGTTACCAAGCTCAACTGGAATTGACCCTTGAATCTTATTTTTGTAAAGCTCCCTGCAAATAAACAAATTCAGCTTTCAGTATCCTCAAATACATGTAAAGATACCTAATAGGACGGGGAAAAAAAAATCAGAAATGGAAAACAGTCTTTAAAATAATTACATAGTGCAAAATATCAAGATTGCTGCAGGCAATCATGTGTCATTGACAGCTTTATTTTTATGAAATATCTCTGAAAGTTCAACCAGACATCAAAACCAAAGAGTTCTATAATACTCACAGATACTGGAGATGTTCAAGTTTCCCAAGCTCAGGCACCAGATGACCAGACAAATTTGAGTTGCCAAGGTCCCTGTAGACTCGTAACAAAATGATACACTTCAGACTCATATGCATCAAAAAGGAAAAGAAAAAGTTGCTGTACCCAAGAAACAAGCTGGAATATGTGTCTCTAAA